AGTTGTACGCGATGTTCCGCATGGCCAAGATCATGGAGCAACCTTTCAGATCTAGAGTGGTACAGCTGCTCAAATCTGCGTTGCAGTTTCGTAACTGCTCTGTACCCCGACACAACAAGTCAGTCACTTTACCGTTTCTGTCTCACCCTTCTTTTGCTGCCCATGTCTCATCTTTTCTGTCTCATACCATTCAGCAGTTCAAAGGCATTTGCATCCCGTTTCACCTCCCCTCTAAGACGCCAAGAGAGTCTGCTCCCCAATCGTTGGGCTCCATTCTTCATAATCACTTTGAGTGGGAGAAGAAGCTTGCTGAGATAACAGTTGATCACCTTCCACGCAGATGCCAACAATTTCAGCAGCAGCACCCCAATGTGGACTTGGTGGATGGACATGTGGCTACTGGACTTGAGACGTTGTCATTTCGCCAACCTGTTCTTAGAGAACTTGCTCAGGCCAACTCAAAATCCCTTATCTTTCCATCAAAAGCCAAGTACATCAAGGAGGCGACCTCCGCGTACAAGGGTTGGTGCAAGACACATTTTATTCCCTTGCATACTCTTCCCATGTGGCAGCAGTTCATTCATTCTGAGTGGCAGCTTCACCTTCGCCATATGTGCTTATGCCCGAAATTCCAGGAAAGTCATGCGTTGCAGCTCAAAGACATCGTTTGTACAGATTGGGTAATTCACCTTGCTGATCACGAATCAACTCATCTTATGGTTTTTTGCCCTAGATTCTATTTCCAATCCTGCCATCGAGTATGGTCAGATGTCAAGGTGTTCAGCCCTATGCCGATGTCCGTATCGTCAGCGAAGCTTTTTCTTTGTGCGCACATCCCGTCTCCACTGGTTCGCAAGTACCCTTGGGGATTCAAGTTGGATGCCAATCTGCCTGTGGGACAGGGCAAGTTCGACATCCCATGAGTGCAGGCAGTGACCGATTGCTGGTGTCAGGTGCGAAGTCGAGAATCTCTCTCATCCGTAAGTACACTTGGCCAACGTGCCAAGCAGAAGTCGCTGTTCATACTTTTGTACGGTGGTTAGCGAACCTTGGTTATCCATTTCGCTTGTGTGAAGCTTTGATGAAACGGTAAAAGCGGTCTGTTATCAGTTGACAGTTGACAGCGGACGTGCATGCAACATGTCTTGATCTGACTTCGCCATGTGTGAGAGACTTGCAAATGTTAGCATCGCAGTGTTTTTGGCTAAGAGACGAGATCATCTGTGCAAGCAAGCATGCCGACGGTGCCACCTTCGGATCCTAGCATCGATGAGTTCTTGAGAACGCTCACTCATTCAGCGCGTGTGAGATTGCTCAACTTTGTATCACGACCTCAACTTCGTCAAGCCCTTGTACTTCAATTGACAGCTTTTGTGCGTGACGGGACAGAAAGAATGCTGCAGCAAGAGTTGCGTCGTTTGGATGAGAGGGATAGAGCAAACCTACGTGAAGAACGTCCTAGCAGTAGCGGAGCTTCAGGATCACGTTCGTCCAGTGGCAATTGCAGATCCCACCCCTATGCACCTCCACCCTCTCTGCCAGCAACGAGGAGTACGCCGAGTGCAGGGAGCGACAACCCATCGTCCAGTTCCGCACCTCCCCCCCTACCTCCCCCTGGCCCTCCTCCTCTCCCCCCTCCTCCCCTCCCTCCCCCTCTTCCCCCTCCCTTTTTCCCCCCGCCCAGTGCCAGTGCTCCCGTCTTTCCACCCCCGGCACCACCAGCAAGCTTGGGGCATCGTGTGTCTGAACCTCCTTTGGTGTCCAGTACCGCTTCGTCGTCGGCTGCACCTACATCTTCAGCTACGTCAGGTACTCCGATTAGATCCAAACCCATGCCTACCAGAAGGCGTGAATCACGCCGATTTCGACGCAGTCAATCGTCTGATCTTAGCTGAGTATGCCCGAAGTGACAGGATTTCACTTGTATCTGTGACGCATGCGAGTGCTGAAGTGAGGAAAGAATGTGCAGTGGATGCCAGTGCTGTGAGTACTTTTTCATTAATGTTGTAGTGCATATCAGAACAGTGTTGCAGCACCCTGCTCAAGTCTCGTTCCATTGCACTAATGTCGAGCAACTCAGCGTGCGATCCGTTGGCACCTCTTCAACGCTGGATTTCCTACACACAACAGGAGCTGATCACAATCAGAGGTGAATTCCGTCACTTTCGCGAAGAAGCCCTATCCGTCCAGAAGATCCAACAAGCCCAACTCGACGTGCTCACCACACAAATCAGGGACACGGAGACTCAGGTGGCGGAAGTCATGTCCGCCACCACAGAACTGTTTCAGAAACTTCAGAAGACCAACGAAGTGGTGGGCAACTTGCTGACGGATTTGCATTCTCTTCAATCTGTGACTACTCATTGTGTTAATTCTCTTCAACTGCAAGAAACAACAGAGTTGCCCCCAACGCTTCCAGCAGAAATTGAAGTCTCAGAGTGAAACGTGAGCAGTTGCAAACAAGCGTCTGTGTGCCAGTGTCACTGCAAGGGTGTTGCAAGGGATGTGCAAGGGACGTGCAAGTGACGTGCAAGGGATGTGCAAGGGACGTGCAAGTGACGTGCAAGTGATGTGCAAGGGTGATGTAAGCGATCTGCGGGCACCATGTGTTGTGAGCATCTGCAGACATTGTCCTGCCTCATGCCCTCAAGGTTCCCTGTAGTGCAAGACAGATTCAGACCGTACAAGTAGCTTTTCATCATGTCGGTGTCCAGTTTCGAGAGCGATGCTGCCTCTGTATCGGACGTGCATACTTCCGACTTCTCGTCAGACCTTGCAGCATCAGACCAAGAATGTGATCGACGTGCAGATTTGGCATCAGGTGTTCCTTTGGCCAGTGATCCGGATTCGGCTGATTTTGATCTTGATCATGAGAGCATTAATGCGTCTTCATCCATTGACCGACAGTCTGCGTCTTCGTCCTCTGGTCGATTAGTTCATGCCCCAAAGCCGAAGCAGTCAGTTGCAGAGCATACCAACATGTTGCAGACGGACCCACCGCGGAAACGCAAACTTCGTATGATCGATGAAGGACCTGATGGTGTGCGCATCAAGATTCGTCCTGCACCCAGTACCCAATTTCGCCGCAGAATGGAAGGCACGAAAGTGCTTGGTGACGATTTCTACATTCACAACAGAGCTCAGTTCATTCTCGATTTCTTGAGACAGCATGGCCAACGCATTGCCAAAGAAAAGCAAGGCCCTAGGAAGCGTTTTTCGTCCACTTTGAAACTTGTGCAGTACGTTCTTGACCGAAAGTGAGAGATTGCACCAAGAAAGTGAAAGAAACTAAAGAGTGTGCGTTTGCAGTGCTGTGCATTATCAGCTTTCTGCATGAACCGTCTTGAGTTGCAGCATTTGGCATCCAGTGAAACTGTGTAGGTTGCCCAACATGAAGCGCAAGGCCCGCGAAGCCAATCTGCCTTGGAGCACGAGCCGCGACTACATTTTTCGGATGTGGGTTCGTGTATGCAGTCGGGCAACCGGACACGAGACTATTACTCTCCACATCCAGTTATCAATCAACGATTCCATCAACGTTGCCAAATACCTTGTCGCGATGCAGCTCTGGGAGAAGTTCGGCTGGTGGCCTAGGTTACACACCTTCCAGCTTGTACAAAACTTTCGCCATCTTCGGTTTACGGAACCTGTAACGACTGCTCAAACCCTCGAACCAGTCGATTTCGTTGTGACGGTATAAAAAGAGACCACCTCTGTGTCAAGTCAAGAGCAGTGACGAGCAAGGGACGTGCCAGCGGATTGCAAGTGATATGCAAGGGATGTGCGAGGTTCGTGCAAGTGCAGTGCAAGAAATGTGCAGAGTAACATGTCAGAGACGTGCAAGTGCTGAGGTGTTGTGAGCTGCTTTCATCAGACATGCAACAGAGTTTTGTTTCAAGCACTCTGAAAATCGTGTAGACCCCGAACAACATGGATTGGGCCGCTTCTGACGTGCTCGAGAACATCTTGATGTACGTGTTGCCGATCAGAGCCAGAATCACATTCATTACCCGCCTCGATCCAAATGATGACCCAGAAGAGGCACAACCCATAACCGACACCATGGTGGCGTACACTTTCCTGCGACGTGGGATACAGGAGTTTCGGCTGTCCTCCTCGGTTGAGTTGACCATGGGCTTTCAGTCTTTGCATACCACCATCCGTTTTGCACAAATCAATGCCGTGGCTTGCACCATGTTGAGCAGCCCGTCAAAAAGGTGGATGAGAGCTGTCGTAGACCTAGTACAGGAGCGTTTGCGAGTGAGTATTGTGTCACTGGCCAACGTTGCGTACCAAACTGCAACTCAGTGTTGCATGTACTTCGATGCTGATGCGGAAGAAGCAGAAGTTGAATTGCACTTAGTGCACAGACTGCGCTTCCTGAAGTTTCGTAGCCCACTTTCCTAGGTCCCTTGAGCATAAGACTTTCCCATGAAATTCAGGAAAAAACAGCGCGCAAAGACTGTCTACATTGCAAAGTGAGTGCGCACTGTCCTGCAAGTGCTGTGCAAGCGATTGAACGGATGCAATGAGCCCGGTCGGGCCTGTGTGTGTCCATCCCTGTTTCGAAGGGTAGGTAAATCTGACTCGATTGAGCAGGGGGGCAAGGGCTCCAGTGATCAGCCTTGCCCAACGAAGCCAAATCACTGGAGTGGATGCAGTGGCTGATCACCACTGTGTACCTGCTTTCGGATTAGCCAGTGGGCCCCCTGAGGCACTGGAGTAACCAACACTAGAGTGACAGCATCACGTTTGCCACTGTCGAGTTTCCTGTATGGTTGCTGCAATCTGATCATTCAGGTGTGACTCAGAGCTGTGTTTGAGTGAGGGCTTGCTTCGAGTTGCTGACTTTCCCTGACAGTATGCACCGACAGATCAGACCTGCGACACGATGTGTCAAGTGTGTGTGTGTGCGTGTGTGTTTGTCTTTGTGTGTGTGTGTTGTACGTCCGTCAGGCCGTCTGTGTCTGCGACCTTGGGTTTCTGTACCGGCAAGCGGCTGTGGCATCTCTGCCAAAAACACTGAGGAGAATGTCCTGACCACCTGGGTGCTTGCGCACATAGTCCTTGAGGTTGTAAACCTCTCGGCAACCCAGGAAGGCTTACATACTGCTGGACTCTGTAGGAATCTCCTGACCTCGCAGCACTGAAAGCAGTGCTTGAACACGAAGGAATACACTAAAACTGAACAAAAACCTTCTCGAGGCAGCTGCGAAATGTGAGCTCCCTCATGTTGAAAGTCTGCATGCGGGAGCTACAGGCCTTGTTGAAAAGAACGACATAGCCGCGCTCCTTCACCGTCTGCATGCTAATCTGCAGGGGGCATATCGACATCTCCACAGCGCGACATAGGGAATCAGCACAGCAAGTCGTCGCTGCAATAAGTTCACATATATGCCGTAGTTCCTTCTCGCGAGCGGTAAAATCTCGCTTGCTCAGTGCTGCTAGATAAGGCTCATGCGGGGCACTTTCTCAGGTGCTCTTGAGCTACACATGAGTCGAGGGCCGGCACGCGAGCTCGGCGCCTGCCTCTCATGTATAAGCCTGTCTGCGTAACCAGCAATTTGAAATAATCTGAAGCCCCGTGCCAGGCAAACGAGTTCTCCGAAGCCAGACCCCCTGCTGAGCATGCCTTCTCTCTCGACGGCCCATCGAGGGATTTCCTCACAGTGCTGAGATCGGGGTGTGCTGACGGCCGCGCGAACATCCTGAACGACGACAGAATGACGGGTACACTACAGCCAGCACCGGCCTGGTGGGACAAGCATTGCCCATGGCTGCTCAACCGCTGTGAGCTACCAGAAAAACGGCTGCGGCTCTGCTACAGCCTTACAGCAAAATCCGCATGTCAGCCTTCATCAGCCTACGGAACGAAATATCGGGAATGCCGACTTCGATGCTGGCAGTCATCCTCAACATTACGAGCATCATCATCATCATAAGGAATACCAGCATCAGTGTCATGATCATCATACACCATCCTGAACCATCATCATCATCACTACTAGGATCATCACTATTTATCATCACCGTCATCGTCACATGCATCAGCATTGTCCTGTGCTGCTTTGTCTGCTGTTTGAATGTCTTTCCAAATTATGAACTTATCACCACGATCGAGCCCAGTGCGGCAAACAAGAATGTGAGCTGGCACCAACTAATTGAAACATTAACATCCAACGAGCATAGGCACTCGAGCAACCAAATGCGAACGCTGTGGCATAGCACGTGCAACTCTTTCGACGTCTACAACGGAGATGGGCTAGGACTAAGCGATCCGTGCCATCGGCACCTGGATCGATTTGCCTACAGTGCGAGACGAAGGCTGCAAGCCTGCTTCGCAGTGGAGCTTGCAGCAGCCAACCCAAGCTGGCGCGAAAACCTCGAACAACGGAAATTTACTTAGGATGCTGGCCTCGAGCAGCACTCTGCAACCGCAAGATATGTGACGTCTAGACGTCGTCTGCCAGCAAGTTCTTCACGTGAATCACGTGCGGCACAGCCCGGGATTCCGACCAAACGATGGGCTGGGCGGCTGGGTTGGGGGAATCGTCGGAATCCGTTTGGACACGGACATCCCTGATTCGTTGGCGTGGCCGCTCCAACAATGCGTCCACGATAGGTTCAACTTGAACCATAAGTTCCGTTGCCTGGCAGCCAGCCAGCTGCATCTAGCAGAAAGCATATACAAGTCGCTCGCAAAACAAAAGCTGTCTGGCGCGTAGATGCACATCTCGGCGAGTGATGGCTAGTGATTGCTGCGAGCAACGACTCGGACTCAAGCCCGTTGCTTCTGTCATAACCCGGCAGCTGGACGGGTGGGCTACCTTTGAACGTTATGGTCTGCAAGTGCCAACATTAGCATGCAACAGCAGGGAACTCCCAGGCAACGATGCGAATGGGAGCTCTCGCGTGCAAGCAGGACCTTTCGAACGTGAGCGTTGTTGCTATTTCCCGTTTACCAAACTGCCAGTGCTAATTTCTAAGACTGGCTGATGAGGAGAGGCTCCCATCCAGCAGTTTCTCCTGCATTGAATTTGAGGCATGTCTTTAATGGGTGTGCACGGAGAGGTTTTCGTGTTCTTCTTCGGAGCTGGCTTGGCTTTCTGTCCAATTTGGCAATGCAGCGCTGCAATATGCTGCAATCTGAACATGGATGCAGTGGAGTGGAAACACGAATGTGTTCGGAACTTCTGACCGATCAAGACTTTCCCTTCATGCACACGGGTGTGGGGCGTATCAGAACGCCAAATCTCAGTACATCTCGGGCAAGTCCGCACCTCGTTCCTCCAGCGAATACAAATCAGCATACGGCACAAACATCAGGTTTCAGTTGCGCTTGTCTCAACTCCAGCTCACCAAGTTCCGCTTTCTACTTCGACAAGATCCGACCTAGCGAAGATTCGACCCTCTTGGGTCTTGGCGGACGAATCAGACTGCACACAGAAGTGTGCCAACAACACCACGGCTTCCAGCATGGGTTCTGGAGACTCTCTTTTGAGCCCTCGCTCTTGCCTCCTTCTTGTTGAAACCTTGGCAGGACATGGGCTTGGAAGCATTGAAACTGGGCTGCATGTCACACTCGCCAGCTTCGTTCACTTCCTCACCCAGCTGAGCGTTGGGCCTAGTCGGCCATGTTGCCTGCAAGGGCGCCAGATTATCCTAACCTCGTCCACCAGGATCTAATGCCGTTGTCTGGAACATCGCGCAGTCCGTTGCCACTGGATGACAGCTCGGATTGCTGATTTTGCAGCTGAATCTTGCCTGACTCAGTCGAACAAATGCTCTTCAAGCCCTGCGTCCCCTGAACGAGAAGATGCCAAGACCCGACGGCTGTATAGGCAGGAGACTGGCTGCCGCTAGACAAACAACAAACCTGAAACCCCAACCTCCAGATCAGCCGCCCAGTCTCGCGGTTGCCAAGAAGCTCCACCTAAGCAAAGCAGCAAGAACAAAGCGGGGGGGAAGGGTGGAGTGGGTACTCAAACGGCATCGGATGCGAGACTCTTCCTTCACCAAACAGACCAATACCCAAGGCAGTGAAGCAAGCGGGTTGCAGTTGAAGTGTGCCATGATGCTCTCCCTCTTGCTGTGTCTCTACTCTAACTTGGATGCGATACTCTCGCTTCACAAAAACCGGTGCCCATTCACAAAGCCTGCGGGAAAGGGCAAGAGTGGAATGATATCAGGATGTGATTTCAGTGTCTTGCCGTTCTTTTGTGGAAACTCGATTGCAGCGGTGCTGACTGGAAACCCCCCTATGTCTCTGATCTGTGCTTCTACGCAAAGCCGACGCAAGCGGACAAACCAGCACTTTCGAAATCTCAGCCAAAGCAGCACTAAGCAGTTTCATCACCGAGATGGAAGTGGCCTCACAGCTCGCGGGAACTCTCAAGGCTGCCACGGAAATCCCGGAGATGCCATCCCAGTCCCATAAAGTAGAGATGCGGCATATCCAGAATGGCCGAAAGCCCTTCAATGCTCAGCGCCGAGGTGCGAGGTCGACATCTCCAAGCCCGTCCAACACATCCTTTATGACCTTTTGGTCTGTCATGACCTGTAACGCGGGTGTGTTTTGCTAATTTGTGGGTTTCGTTTTGTCATTGTTTGGCTTGGTTTGCTTAGCCCGTGGGTTTCGGAACATTGCGGATGCCATCCTTTCGGCACGGTGTTTTTGACTTTATGTAGCTGTTGTGTTTCTGTCTGCGTTCTGGTTGACGGGCTTCCCCATGCGTTTCAAAGCCAAAAACTGAAAGGAAAAAAAGGACCGACTAAATCAGACGTGGAAGGCGGGTCATCCACACAGGCCTGAAAGTACGCCTCGCTCGCATGCGCAGTCCGCTTTTTGCGGGGTCGCAGCCAAACGGCAAAGTGGACAACACGTTGTTACGATTCTCACGCGGACTTCCAAAAGCTTTGATGGAACTCCATTGTTCTTGACAGTTATTGAAAACGAGATATCGTACCGGCATTTTTTCATTACAACTTGCAGGTTGCGCCTTGCGGCCAACGTGTTTCGTATTTGCGCGGCTATCCTACTAATGCCACTGTCAATCACAGCACCAAAATTGCAATGCGTGTATTTCTTGTGATAACAGATTGAAATCTCTACCTAGCGACTAGTAAACATAGTCATATGAACTACACAATAGGAGGAGGAGTAGTAGTAGTAACAGCAATAAGGATAAAACTTGTACTAGTAGTAACAATAGCAATGACTGTGTAACTTCGGTAAAAGCAACACCAAGCATAAAATTCATAACAACAACAACAACAACAACAACAACAGCAACAGCAACAGCAACAGCAACAGCAACAGCAACAGCAACAACTCACAATAATGCCAGCTCAATGAATACTACTAACAACTAAAGCAGAATATAATGAGAATACCCATTGTGCTAAAGCAGGTGCGTGAGGTTTTGGTACTGGCTGTTGCCTGTATCGCTCTCCTCACCAAGAGCTGATATATATATATATATATATATATATCGTGTTGATTGCCTTGACGAACGTCCAGTAATAGTTAGTTCTCTCACCAATCCTCCTTTGCAGGCACACTCGGTCAACCTCTTTTCCCGTTGGAATGTGAGCAACGAGTTGTCTGTGCACGGGATGACTCTCTTGGCTTCTTGACCGATAGCGGGCGTCCGGCTATTGCTAGCTAGGCAGTAAGCTTTTGCTGTTTAGCCTTTAGCATAGCTTACACATAGGACTTGAGCCAAAGTTACGTTACGCGGAGCATTTAAAATTGACGCTGTGACATGGTCCGACTAGCGGTCCCATGTACAGACAAGGTAGTGAGACAAGACCCGCGAGACGGTGTCTTGCTCTATGTACATGATGGAATCATGACATTGCTTCCCATAGCTCTGATAGTGACGCCCACGAATTGGACTAGGCATCGAGGTCCGTTTGCACCCCCCATGAGTTGAAGGTAGTCGCGATTAGACAAAGAGATATCCGCCGTAACTTTGAAATTGTTTAGAAGAGAGTTTTGCATCCCAATTAGAATTGTTGTGACACGCAGCTACGTCAGTAACGATCCCCCGATATGACACTGCAGGATCAGACGTCACCGAAGAAAGCGGCCAAGAGTGAACATCACCCTCACATGGCGGTGTCACGGAACATAGTGCGGCAAGACGTCATTTTACCATTTATCCATGACCCAGCGACGAGTGCGTGAGGTTGTCCTCTGGATTCTTTCCTTTGCCCTTCCCTTTGTCCTTGCCTTTGCCCTTGGCGTCGTGGAAGGTGTCGGCATTCCATGGTTCACGGCGATGATCACGATTCCTCGTCTCTTCTTTGGGTGCACCTTTTGGAGCGGCTGGACGTGTGACTCGTTCACGTTCTTCTTGAGTGAGCCTTGCGTCCTGCCCTGCATCCAAATACTCACGGGTCGATATATGACTCAGTGCTTGGCGATGAGCATGTTGTTGCGGATTCCTTTCCTCATCGGCTTTCCGTTTTGCGACCTTGTCCACGAGCCTGGCTGGGACTTGGACGTTGCGGCCGATGATCAGGCTGATCGTCACCGCAGAATTGTCCCTGGAACTTTGCATGAGCAAGACTCCAACAGGATCGATGCACAGGAAGTTGGTAGGTCCAACGGGAGTAGGCCGGATCAGTGAAAACGACATGTAACTAAGGATCTTCGGAATGATCTCGCAAAGGATGCTCAAGCAACTGAAGCGCATACCCTTTTCGTCCTGTCCTCTGTTGAACTCTGTTGATTTAGGTCTCAGGATTGAACGCGTCCCTCGTGTAGCCCA